CTATACTATGACATTTTTTGACATTTTTATACCTTACTATACTATGACGTTTTTTGATATTTTTTGCCTTACTATACTGTGACATTTTTTGACATTTTTTTCCTTATTATACTGTGACTTTTTTTACCATAGTATATACTATGACGTTTTTTGAAATTTTTCTGCCTTACTATACTATGACATTTTTTGACATTTTTATACCTTACTATACTATGACGTTTTTTGATATTTTTTGCCTTACTATACTGTGACATTTTTTGACATTTTTTTCCTTATTATACTGTGACTTTTTTTACCATAGTATATACTATGACGTTTTTTGAAATTTTTCTGCCTTACTATACTATGACATTTTTTGACATTTTTGCACCTTACTATACTATGACATTTTTTGAAAATTTTTTGCCTCACTATACTATGACATTTTTTGACATTTTTGTACCTTACCATACTATGACATTTTTTTGACATTTTTATACCTTACTATACTATGACGTTTTTTGAATTTTTTTTGCCTTCCTATACTATGACATTTTTTTATTTTTTTCCCTTACTATACTATGACGTTTTTTGAATTTTTTTTGCCTTCCTATACTATGACATTTTTTTATTTTTTTCCCTTACTATACTATGACGTTTTTTGAATTTTTTTTGCCTTCCTATACTATGACATTTTTTTATTTTTTTCCCTTACTATACTATGACGTTTTTTGACTTTTTTATACCTTACTATACTATGACGTTTTTTGAATTTTTTTTGCCTCACTAGACTATGACGTTTTTTGAGATTTTTTGCCTTACTATACTATGACATTTTTTGAATTTTTTTTGCCTTAGTATACTATGACATTTTTTGACATTTTTATACCTCACTATATTATGACATTTTTTGAAATTTTTTTACCTTACTATACTATGACATTTTTTGACATTTTTATACCTTACTATACTATGACATTTTCGAAATTTTTTTGCTTTACTATACTATGACATTTTTTTACCATAGTATATACTATGATGTTTTTTGACATTTTTATACCTTACTATACTATGACATTTTTGAAATTTTTTTGCTTTAGTATACTATGACATTTTTTTACCATAGTATATACTATGACGTTTTTTGACATTTTTTTGCCTTACTCTACTATGACATTTTTCGACATTTTTTTGCCTTACTGTACTATGACGTTTTTTAAAAATTTTTTGCTTCACCATACTATGACATATTTTTGACATTTTTATACCTTGCTATACTATGACGTTTTTTTACATTTTTTGTCTTACTATACTATGACGTTTTTTGAAATTTTTTTGCCTTACTAGACTAAGATGTTTTTTGAAATTTTTTTGCCTTACTATACTATGACATTTTTTGACATTTTTATACCTTACTATACTATGACATCTTTTGACATTTTTTTGTCTTACTATACTATGACGTTTTTTGAAAATTTTTTGCCTTATTATACTATGACATTTTTTGACATTTTTATATCTTACTATACTATGACGTTTTTTTGACATTTTTTGCCTTACTATACTATGACGTCATCAATTTTCTGTGTGTTAAAAATTTTCAGTTGACTTAAGCTTCAGTTTCACCGCTGTTCATATCCATCCTGCATGTACACACTTTCTGTGTCTTTTATCAGCAAGTCGGTTAAATGGCACTTGAATGTCAGCATCACTGAATTTATTTCCTTTCCTAGTAGTACCACACTTTAGATAGAACGCCTATTTTGACCTTATGGTGACTCACCAAGTTAATTTCTGAAGAGGATATGAATGTCTGTGCTAAATTTCATGATAATCCACCAATACCTGTTGAAATATTTCACTCAAAACCACAAATGAGAGACTTGTGGTGTTAGAGGAAAAGTCAGAGGTGAACAAAGCCATTAGGCCATGATCTGGGAATCATGATTGTCTAGAAATGTTTGCGCCAGTCCATGAAGTAGATGTTGTGATAATTTAGAGGTTCAGAGTGAAAACTTTGAGCTGTAGGTCGTGGTAGAGAAAAATCATGGAATCACCAAAGTTGTTATGATTCATCCTATGGAGACCAAGGAAGCTGCTCACATGGCTAACAATCCTTGACGATTGGGGAAAAGACTGTGTCGGTGAAATAGTTTGCACTCATAAAAAATCCTAAATTAAAACAGTTTCCTCTGCTACTGCTTCAACTTCCACATGCACTGACATATAACTTCAAAGTCAGCGGTATATGTAACATCATATATGAAGAAACCCAAATGCCTACTGAGGCTTAAAGCATAAAATTAAAGCACATTGCCTTTGTAGCGTGAGTCAACAGCCCAACAAAGCAGCAAGTCTCCCTATTTCATTATTTGTCGAGCTATGTGAGGTGCACCTGTTTCAAAGAAGATTCAAACTCGACTGGACAGTGCAAGCAGCGTCTGTGCATTCCAGTTCAATAAGGAAAGCTGGGCACCATAGCGAGTTCTGATCATGGGAGCAGACCTCTCATGTAGACATGTGAGAAACATCACAAGGCAGACTGCTTCGTTCTCAGGGAAGGGCCTTTTGCCTGTCAGCGGGGTCTGAATTGTGGGGGTGGTTGGAATCGAAACACACCAGCCACATGTACACACTGTGCTACCCCTTCCATATGGGAGTATTTACGTCGTCTTTGTTGTCCAAAGATCAAAGCAGCGGAGATCCATTTCAGTTGATTTTATGACACGATTTCGCAAATTTACAGGGGGGGACTTTAAATGCCCTGTAAAACCTGTTCCACAGCATGCAAGACCACCCCATTAAGTCTGATGTCCCACATGGATATAAAGGAAATCTGACTTAGACCTGGTATTGCTGCAGTGTGAAGGATCTGTGTGTTTTTGAATGTTGGTGAGAGTGAAAAACCCACAAGAAATCCATCCCATAAATTAATCTGAAATCTGCATTTAAAAAAAAAAAGAAAGGCTGCACAGGAAGCAAAACAAAAGCAGAACACCATAAATTTATTGTGGAAAAAAAAGCAACATTGGGAAAAAAGGTCTATTCTGGCACATTGTTCATTTTTTTTATATTACAAAAAGGAGAAAAAGGCTACAAATCTTGATAATTTATACAAATACAACAACTTTCAAAAATAAATCTTTAATTTAGTAAACGCTCTGTGAACAAGTTTCTGCAATAACCCACCACTTGAGATCCCTGAGCAGAGACACAGAGTGAATCGCTTTTTCTTTTCTTTTTTTAACATCTTCACTCAAGCAATAACAATTATCAGTGTTTGTTCATAAACACTTTATATACACAGGAGAAATAAGCACATAGGGTTTGTGAGACGTGGGGAGTGAATGTGACCTGTGATTATTTTACTCAACATATCACTAGTGACCATCACAGTCAAAAACAGAACAGTGGTGACACTATTACGACTGCAACAAGTGACTTATATACTCAATCTTTTATCCTCCATCGCACCTGTTACTGTGTATTTACCTATAATGGGCCACATATCTGCTAACTTCCTTCATTTTACATGTAATAAAAACACAGTGCCAGCTGGTTCTGTTGCTAAGGTAACACAAAGCAATAACTTACAATGTAATAAACTGAGGACACAGATAATTCAGGAGTTTTGCGGCCAGTAACAAACAAAATGATCACAAATACTGCACATACTTTTACTTCTGGGAAGGTGCCATTTACTGTATGCTGACGACAACAAACAAACAAACAAACAGATGTTAATTACACAGAATATATACAAAATGAGACCTTATGACTGCCAACAGAGGTTTGACAATATGGGAAAATACTTCATGTAATGAAGCCAAACTTGCTCCGTAATCTGAGCTTCCATTTTAAAGTCTGGCTACTTTTTTTGCTGCATGGTTTTCTGTATAATATACACAATGTAGGTATATATTAGGATTCATTTATACAAACACAATGAAATTAGTTTTATTCCGACACAAACATAGGCGTTAAAACATTTCCTTCAGACGTGCTATGTCCCCACATTGCTCTGTGATGAGAAGGTGTGCATCAGCATAGCTCTTGTATTTGGTTAGAAGAACTCCTTCATCTGTTCCAGCTCCACACACAAACGCTCCGTTTGCAAAAGCGGCAGGTGTGTGGGCAGACGACGTACCCAGAACTACCGTACCTGCCACTTTGTCGTCTGTGACTTCCATGGGAAGACAGCTTAATAACAATTCCATTTTTAGCTTCTTAATGTTGTCAACAAACAAGTTACTACGCCGACTTTTAACAGGGAAATACAAGAAGCAGTAGTGGGAGAAATGCCACCTGCATGCTACTGTACACTGCTAAAAGAACACTCACACCTTTTATTATAAGGCATAACAATGTGAAAGTCCCACTTCCTTTTTCCAGCCAAATCATGCTGCATTTGGCGAAATCCAGCCTGTGTGGAGCTTTCAGAGGCTATTGTTGTCCTGTAATGACTGACAAATTCAATTCCCTTTTTCAAGTTTTTACAAAATGTCAGGGCATCTGCTCCAAATGGTTTACAATAATGCTGTTAATTTTCATACCTTCATAACGAAGCGTGTGTAATCTCATGAGCAAAACAAACCCACTGAGGAAAATACACAGACTTGAGATCTTACTGATATAAACTTGATTTACATTAATTTGGAGATTTTGGATGGTGTCCATTTCTTCATATAATCTTATTTTCTTCATTATCAAGATGCAACATCTAATAAAACCAAGGACTTCAGTAAATGGTGATGGAAAATACCCTCAGTGCAGTGCTCTTGAGATCCTTCTCTCTCCATTATATTTTATCTTGCACAGCTCGGGGATAAATTTCACCCTTATGAACTACAATTGCGTATTTGAGAAACTTAATTCATCACAAATGTTGGAGGATGTACCTGGTCTCACCTCAAGTTCAAGTGCTGTAGTTATAAAAGTAAAAAAAAAAAAAAAGAAAAGAAAAAGAAAAAAAAAAAAAAAAGAAAAGAAAAAGAAAAAAAAAAAAAAAAGAAAAGAAAAAGAAAAAAAAAAAAAAAAGAAAAAGAAAAGAAAAAAAAAATGGTTCCTGTGAGAGCACTAATTTTGAGGAAAGTTCTAAAGAGTCCAAATACTGTGCAGCACCAGCCAAACTGTGAGCAATGCTTCTGAGGAAAGCTGCTGGCCTGAGGTGTATGCAGAGCTCAGGAGTCATTAGGAGGGCTGTGCGGCACAGTCATGGCCTCTCAGAGCAAACATCCTCCCTGAGTCTCTTCCATCCCTCCTGGAAGAGAAGAGTGAATAAGCAACGCGTGGGCCGTCCTTTCCTCCAGGTCTGGCGTACAGATGGCAGGTACTGTAGGCGGGCAGGAGGAGCTCAGGGGCTCGTGGTCCTCAGGCCCTGTTTCTCCATGATGTTCCACAGCTTACGCAAGTTGGACTGGGTGATGGTGTCATCAGGTTTCAGTTGAAGTGCTCGGAGGTAATTGGCTTCAGCTTCTTGCAGCTTCCCGTTGAGGTGGAGAATGGCCCCCAGGTTCATCAACGCTGCAGGATACTGAAACCAGAAGAGAGATTTTAGTCATTTTTGGGGTGAGATCAGTTTCATGCTGAATGCGCCTCAGGCGAGCTTCAAGTTTTGTTCCAAAGTTGCACTGTCTGTTCTCTTCAATAATAGCAATGCAGGGTTCTACACTGTTATTGAGAATTAGGTATACAACAGTGGGCATTAACAAAGCTTCCTGAGAAATAGAAAGAGTGACCTGATACACACACAACAACAGTAATTTACTCACCGCAAACGCTCTGTTTAAACTGAAGAAATTATTCATTGAAAAATTCAAATCAGGGGCCATGAATGGATGAGATGAATAATGCAAATCAAGTCTTTCGATTCACACTTAGGGGGGTATGAATAATTCAACAGAAACGGAATTTGACCAGAAATGTTTTATATCAATGAATCACATGCAATAAATTGTTGTCTGGACATTGAACAGATTAAAACACTTTTGAATGCAAATCTTTTCACAAAAACATGGAAAAACGTCAGAGTGGATGAATAAATTAAGTAGATAAATAGAAACAGTTATACTGTCCTTTGAAATATAAAAAAAGTGTAGTAATAGCACATTTGGTGATCATATGAGGCTATACAGCACGCTACTGGTTCCTGTCTGTCAGATCACCCAGGCTGCGGCGAAGTGTTTGGAGCTTGGTAACCACGCTGCTTTGCGTGTCCCTGTGTCTTGTCTGTGGCCACACATGTCGGAGTGAGCAACCACCACTTTTAAGTGGATCTAGCTGAATATACTGTATATTCCTGCTGGTACCAAGGGGTAAAATCATCAGCAGCAGCAGCAGCAGCGGGTGGGTGAGTCATGAGGAGTAAGTGTCTGGTGTGCAATCACGGTAAGGGAGGGTCCACATCTGATCTCTATTTTAGTATGAAGTGTGGAAAAGATGTCTAATCCTGTCAAGAAGCTACTGTTTTACTGCTTCAGACTATTGTAATTTCTGTAATCGTTAATTCCTTGGAAACAAGGAATGCTCAAATAAAACAGTGTTAGTAAAAATGGCCAATCATGTGCTTACGCTGCAGTGGCTGCGACTTTTTCCTATAATTATCGCCTCATACATCATTGTCACATGGAATGGCACACGATTGTGGCATCTACTGATGTGCTCTACCCCGAGGCTCAGTTTCATTCTCACGGCCTATTAAGTAATCAAGAGTAATTCTCAGAGCAACACGCTTTGCATGAGAGAAAAAGTGTTTTTCTATAAATGTTATGAGAAATCTGTGGAATGTCATGTGAAAATGCGTGGAAATGTGAACCATTCACATCAACAGCAATTCTGCAAAAAATGTAAGAGCATACTAAAAACATGAAAATCTTATGAAAAGCTCTTTGTGTAAAAGTTTGATCCAATTCAGTTAATGGATTTATATTTACAATAAGTAAACACCTAACAAACTCTATTTGAACCAAAACACTTGTTTTTATTAAAGTGAGTCCGAAGTTTATACTCAAGGCATAGTCATCCATGCACCTTCTCGTCCAGACTGTAGTTTGCGTGAAACTTTGCTGGACTGTTCGACCCTTGTCTCACTCTCAACTCTCAAAACATCTCTCTGTTTTTCCAGTGTCAAGCTTGGATGAATGATGCTCCATGCATGAGAATTTCAATGGGAACACAGACTCTGGGATAATCCTATTGTCCCTTAGAGAGGAGCCACTTCTTACCTTAACACATATAAAACATGCTGCAGAGGCTTTGGCCAAAGTAAAGGCGACTGGCATGACCAACACTACTCCTGTTGCTCCATGGCTCCAAATGCTTTGCTTTAAATTACTAGATACCACTCGCTTAATATTGTACAATTACATTTATCCCCTAGAAAAACATTTTCCCTCAGTGTTTCAGTTATTAGTCACAGGAGTTCTTGACTTTAATGGTCGGGGTAATTTTGAGGCTGTTTGTGCTATAAATTACCCTCAGTTTGACCTCGCCATTTGAGGGTCAAACCACAAAATAACGCTGGGGGATCAATTTGCAAGTTAGGGATTTTAACTAGTCCAGAAAATACCAGCCAAAATATAACTGTTTATACATATGGACATAGTTGAAAGTGACACATAAATACTGTGTCTGCAATGTGGAAGTGACAAGTGGTGTAGGTGTATATTGGAAAATTAGTCTTTAAGCCATTTTGTGGAGTTGTTGAGGATTCAATGTTAAGTGAAGTGCAATCATCCCTTAGCCTCAGTGTATTTCTAAGAGGTCAGTCAGTTCATTAGGTAACATGGCTCAGAATCAATGCAGACTTTGGAGACATTCAAGTGAGAGAATGACAATGGTCGAATAATTCCCCGCTTGGCTCCTTGAGCTTCCTGGCGTCTGTTGATTTGGTTGCTGGCAAATGTACACAGGAATGTTTCAGCGACAATTTATGCTTCTTGTATCATTTCTCTTTAGCCTGTGGTGATGCAGTGATCTCACAGGGTACGACAATGGTTTTAAAGTTTTCCCTTTAGAAATGACACAGGTCGTAGGAGAAGCCAGAGTCAAAAACAAAGGCCAGTTTGTCCAGTTGCTGGAGAAACAAATCAAACAGGAAAATTGCAGAAGGAGCTGACCTAAACAGGCCGACGCTAACATGCTTCTATTGCAAGCTTTCTGCGATCTTCCAGGATAGATAGTGATGAGTGGCGTAACATATGAAGCGCTGAGCAAAGAGTCCTGGGTAAAAAATCAAGTGACTCCTGGTTTTCCTCTCAGTGCGGCCACAACGGAGGTTCAAAAGACCTCTCTCTCCACCCATGCAGAACTTATCAATTCCCAAGTTTAGTTTCCTTCCTCCCGTCTCCCCTGTAGGCTCCCACCTTTCCTCACCCGAGCCTTTATCCCCCTACTTTATAAAGCTAGGACTTTTGTGATTTATTCCCCTTCTCCTGCATTCTTCCTTGCCCTTGCAACACTTGCAACACTCCGCAAAATGTTCTTTTGTCAAAAGCCTTCATTTTTTCCTCATTTCCTGCTGCTCTGTAACCATTCTGCCTCCCTACCCTTCCCAAAACTGGCATGTATGCTTGCAGAAGCATGGCCAGATGTGGAGCATATTAGCCTGGGCCGTAAAGCAACATATGCTATTAAGACTGCCAGAGTTGAATGTGAAGCTAGGTTGGGGAATGACCTGACCATAATGACTCCAGAATGGCATTTAAGTAAAGAATATCTACATAGAATGGGAAACTCTCAAAAGGACAGATGTCATAGGGTGCAGAGAGCAACCAAAGCAAACCAAGCATCCGATATGATTTAGCTTGTCTAGATAGAGGGGATTGTAGGACTAAAGGACTAAATCCCTTGAATGGAGGGAATTGTCCTCTCTCACTCGGAGCAAGCAGACATGTGTGCTTAATATAAACCACCAGTGCTTTTGGAGAGTGAGGAGTCAAGCCGCAGTAAAGCATGAAATGACAAATGAAGATGGACAGGGTACATGGCTTAAGTCAAGTCGCATCGCAAAGAACAAAGGATAATGGTAAAGAAGATGGATGAAGATGCTAAATTACAATTGTGCCTCAGCTGTAAGCAATACAAACGCCAAAAGGCATCCAGGCAAAAGTAACCAAGTAGGGGTATAAAAAAAAAACTGCCTCTGTGTTTGGATGTGGACATCAAATGCGTGTTTGTACAATTACAGATGCCAAGAAACGGTCATGTGAAAATTACACGGATCTGGCCTTGGAAACAGAGCTGTGGGAAACAAAAACATTTACAGCATGTATTTCATAGAAGTACATATCTATCGGGGGGCAGCACAATATGGTTGAAAATGTCTCTGCACAGTAAGAACCAGACAGCAGAAGAGAGCAGCACCTTGTTAGCTTGTTAGCTTGTTTTTGAGGGCTATTGTAACTTCCTATTTTTCCATTAGCTTAGCTTTGTTTGTTATTTCAAAAAATTCACACTATTCCTTTAAGATTCCCAAATCTTTCTTTATCTCCAAACTTCTATAGATAGAGAAACAAGTGAGTAGCGATCGGATGTTCTCTCAGCATGAAAAAAGAGTGTGTACCACTAATGAAATAGAACTAATGGGAACATTCCCACAGTTCACCTAAAACTCTGTGGTCCTCTTACATTATTTATGTATGGGTTTGAACTGGAGCAATGAGAAAAATGATTTTACTTACCTTCCATCTGGGTTTAATCAGAATTTAAAAATACACAGAGCTCTGGCAAAAGCTGAACACTGCATCAACACTGAGAACAACAAAGGCGATAGGAGCTCAGTTTCATGGTTTCTGTGGAAATTTTAAATTTTATCCTTTTGTTATACTCGAGTTTTGTCTTTTTGTTTGTATATATCATACCAGGGTTTGTGTGCTCGCAGAACCAAACTGTATTGTCTGTATAATGTCGTCCAGATATATTTTGATCATTAATCCTGAACTGATTTCTTCTAATCAAGACACAGGAACAAACAAGGTGACCACATGCCAAACATATTTTGCTCCCTCTGCGGCCCTCACTCCAACAACTCGACCCCCTCCTGTCACAGCTCTCAAAGGCTCGACTCCATTCATTTTCAAGATGTCAAAGTCCTCTGACCGAGTGTTATTATCATTATTCTTTTCAATTTGCTTACCCGGGCCTCTCCTTTGAAGTTGATGATGGATTCTGCACAAACAAACCTCTGAGCTTAGTCGAAAGCTTGCCCTTATTTATCTGAGATCCACTGACAATGAAGGCCGTTGTGAGAAGGCAGAGCAGGCAGTAATAATATTGGAAAAGCCGTCCAGACTGTGATTGCACAGTGCCCATCAGGGTAAACAGTAATGTCGGTGATTAGCTAGCTGCGGTTGTACTCACATTGGGTCTCAGGCTTGCTGCTTGTCCGTAGTACTTCTCGGCTGCCTCATTTAGGCTGGCTTGTCTGCAAAAGGGAAAACAGAGAGAGGCAATCATTATTCATCTTTATTGCTCCTGGCTTAGGATGAGGCCTTGAACCCTGCGTGTTTACTAGCGCTCAGGGGTCACTGAGAAAATAGCGGGAGGGAACAGCATGAGGGATGAGGAAGGCTGATCCAGTCGCCTGTAGGTTTCTCGTTCGATAGCATCTCTCACTCGATAACATCTGTGCTGAGCGGTGCACTGCAAGCACTTTCTGTTCTAATTGAGGCCTGGGGTTGGGACATTTGGCTTATTGGGGACATGAAGAAAACTCATCAACAAACCGAGGCTGACCTGAGATATTCACCCTACACTAGTACAGAGCTGATGGGGTAAACTGTGGGTTGACATACTGGACTGAATACTGCAACTCTGGAGATGTGAAAACAGTATGGAAGGACAAAACCATTTAATCATACTATTATAACAAGCAGGAGAGCAGAAGGGATGGCACAGATGCACCAAAACATGCCGTATATGCCACACTGCGACACATAGGATTTTTTGAGCAGATGGCCTGTCGGCATGACTCCCTGGTACCAGGAATACTTTATTCCTGAGGACATAAAACCTGCAGTCAAGACAGGAATGTCCTATATTACGCTTCTTATCTTACCTCATAATCCACTACTGTTATACACAAAACTGTGGCTCCTATGTCACAAGGCCTCTCCTGCTATTAATATCTCAGAAATCACCTTTATGGTCCACAGCTGCATGCTTGTCACTGATGGTAACGATTGTCTCATTGAAAACAAACTTTGACGAAGTCAAGGTCAGAGTCAGTGACGGCCGGCCGTGGAGCCCCTTAAGTTGTAATGATCAAAGGAAGCGAGGCCTTTGGAACCAGTTTCATTTTGGCTGTCGCAGTTTGTTAAGGGATCATCATCCATATGGTCTCAGATAAAAGGCAGAGCTTTCATTTTAGGATTACCAGGTCAGACGACTAAGTACACACACAATATAAATGTTTGGTTTGAAAGACACTGTCTAATGTGTTCTAAATGCTTGATTCCTCACTGTTCCATGAGTAGAGAATTTATGTTTTTTAGTTAGCTGCAACATAATAAAACCCACCTACATAACTAAGAAACATAATATTGATCCCATCCTACATGTTATCCATCAGCATACGTCAAATATACAGACAAACATGCCACTGCTGTTTATTTCTTTTAGCACAAATGAATTTTTCCAGCTCTGTTAAAAAGAAACATTTCACATTCCAGCAGCGATCCAGAAAATGACTCGAGTTGCCGAATTTGTCCTGAGATTATAAATGTGGGTTTCATGTCCAACCACAACCATATGTTTGTTTGCCAGCATAATATTTAGAAAGTACGATCCTCTGAGAAAAAAATTGCACCAATCTAATTCTATAATATCATTATCACATTTATAAACACATTATCAGAGGAGAACTGGAGAGCTGCCACGCCACGACCAAAGCAGCAGCACAGCCTCCTCGGCTTGTCTGACTGTGGGTTGTGAGAGCGCAGAAGACAATGGAGGCCAAGTATGCAAACCGCTGCCTGGGTTTAAACCCGAGGAAGAGTCAGTGTGAGACTACAAGAGCGCAGGAATGAAGGGAAAGAGAGTGATGGGAAAACGGAAGAGGAATGAATGAAAAAAAAAGAAGAAAATCCCCCGGAGGGAAAAATTCTTGACCATATTTCAAATCAGCAACTCAACCACTGATCTTTTTTACCCTGACATCTTGTTGTCTAGAGATGCTTTATTAACCCCAGATATGCACAAATCACAACAGCTGACAGTGCTGCTTATAAGCGTGACGCCGCTGGATGCTAATGACTGAATGAACAAATTGCATTTTCAACATCAGCCAGATATTTGTGCTTAAACTGCAGCCGTCCCATCTGTCTTGAGGACAGAATCAAATTTTTTTAGAGTAAGATCCTCGGTGTTCGAATGCAACACTGAACACAGACCTCTTCCCTGAGGGCAATACTGTATGCTCAGAAAGCCTAATGTAACTTACTACCATTCATTCTTTTTTATTACCATCATAAGGTTATTGAGTCAAACCAATTTATACACTTTTTGAGAACGGGGAAAGTCAAATATGCACAAATTGGCAAACCTAACATCATGTCATGCTAATGTGCAAAGTAATCTTTCAGATATGGTGTACCATATTATCATATAAGACATGTGGTTTGTGTGGGAAACTATGAGGTCAACTGTGGGTGCATATACTGCCTGTGTGTGTCCTTTTGAGTTTCAGATTGTATGTGACTATATGATGTCACAGTGTAATTTTCACATGAAATGAGGAAAACGAACACATCACCACAGGCCTTACCATGCCTTTCCTGTTCTATATTCCCACTATAAACCAGAGCTAGGTTAAAAAAAAAACATCAAAACTGTTCAAAAAAGGAGGCAGAAGGAAATTCTTAGTTTGGAAGTAAAATGATCAAAAACCAAAGGGCTCAGGAGAGCAATAAAACACATTTGCACATCTGAGAGCTTCTGCCCCTCCTTTTAATCTCTTCCCTTCCCCTGTGTAGTTTCACTTGTGTCCCCACCAACCGAGGGCCTTTCCATGTCTGCGTCCAAGACAAACAACATAAAGGACATGAGCTGTGGAGGAGTGGGGGACCCCATTCCAAGCAAGTGGAGGAAAAGTTCAGCCCTCAACACCGCTTGAAGCCCTCTTTAGCTGCCAGGGGTCTGCACCCTGGAAGAGGCTCTCAATACTGAAAGCTGCTGGAGATGAAGATCCTGCATGATCGGACTGGTGGGGGGAAGAGCTATGCATAAAGCAGCTGGGTAAGAATCTCACATAGAGCTGCGCAGCAAAGCTGTACTTTGGGGAACAGCACGGCCAGCTTTATCAAACCGGTGATTCAAGATAAGTATTTCCCTTCAGAGGGCTGCAGCAATTCTAACCCAAAAGCCCCGAGCTAGCCACGATGAGTTTAAACAAGGAAATCTCTATACTGGCTAATATAATTTTGTAGGTTTATTCAGTCAGCGGTGGAGTGTGCTGTATGTTGGCACATGGCTGTATTTACACATTTCCATTCGTGGCTTGTGTTCAGAAACACAACAGCTTGTGGGCTGCTAAAGCTTCACTGCTCAGGCTCATCAGCTGAACCCTGCGCTGATTTGGAAGCCGTCTTTCAAGTAGGAGCCAGCGACAGCAGAGGAATAGTGAGATGGAGTGGGAGAGAGGTGTGGAGAGAGACACAGAGAGGGAGAGAGAGAGAGAGAGCATATGAAGATACATAGCTGCACAGCACGCTAAGACAAACCAGCAGCTCTCAGGCTGGCACTGCAGCGAGAGAAGAGGATTACAAAGTACAGCCAAGTAAATCACACTGGCTGAGGAGAAGTGTAAGCCCCTGGATAAACCGTGCAGACAGTAGACCTCCCTCTCATACACAACCTCCTCTCTACTCAGCCTTGCAAGACTGTGGCCAACACATCTCATCTACACAGAATAAAGTACATACAGTGCATTTGTGGCTATGGAAATCATCAAACATAAAAAGAAAAAAAAAGAAAAAGAGAATTCCAATCAAATAGTCACCTGAGCATGTGGGCTGCGCTGAAGACCACATCAAACTCCCCGCTGTCGAGGCGTGCAGCTTTCTCTGCCATCTCCGCCGCTTCCAGGAGCCGCGACTCTTCCAACAAAAACTGACCTGGCACGGCAGGAGAGAACAGCAGCACGGTTAAAACGCTGAGGGATCCCCACAGAGGCACTGAGGGATACTCAGCCTCGAAGTGTTGCCTTTGGCCCAGGTGGACGGACAGCCTGGTCTGCCCCTGAAATAATATGCTGAAACACTAGATATGAGTGCAGCATACCATCACTCTTTGGCCTTCACTCAGACCCATTTGTTCCGATTAGTCGACCTTGATTGATCTATTTCTTTGAGATGAAAAAGTTTCCCTGCAGGAGCTTTGTGTTTTATTACGGGTGTTCCTGCTTTTGCCATGAAAGTTCGTGGGCCCACATAATGAGATGGGATTATGGAAGCCTGACAAGGCCATGAACTGGGGGTGGACCCCTTGCAAAGGGCCAGGTTTAGAGAGGAATGAATACCCTGTTGACTTTGGTCAGCCCCACTACTGTACCAGGATGCTAACCCACCGAGTGAACCTAAGCATATTTTCCTTAATAACTGTGGATGAAACTGAAGCTGTTAGACCTGAGGTGAGAGACGGACTGAAAATGAGACTTCAGACCATGATTGAGTGCAAAGTAGCTCCGGGTTACACACACCTCTGCAGCTATGGAGGGTTTATGATATCAAAGCAAATCAAAGCAATAAAGGAAAGACAGTTCCTGCATCAATAAATGCCCGAGCCCAAGAGTGCCCTGCTATATTTAAACGTAAATTTCTCAAAGGTGATGTGTGTGTGTAAGCTCTGTGATATTGTGAGTCCTGTTCATCATGCGGCACTATGAATTTTAGGGGAATATTGGAGGGTCTAGCTTTGAACACAGACCTTAGCCCAGGGTTTCTGCAGGGTCACAAAATCAAATGTAAGAAACTAAATTAAATCTGAGATTTTTTAAGGCCTTTTTAATACCACGCAGAATGCAATTTAATACCTGTTTCACAATCACAGTATGAAAGCATGATAGAAAACCAATAGGTTAACCCGATATAGCCCAGAATTATTTATTATTATATTAATTTTTTTTCTGAACTTTCTCTTCTTCTGTGCAGCAACACTCTGTCTTTGTGCAGATCAGCATGGTTCATCTGATCATTAACTCATTCCTTAACCTTTAAAAAGGTGACAACTTAGACAAAACAGTATAAAACCATTAACCACGGTGTATTGATTGCTTTAAATGCCACATGTGAGCTGGTGCAGGGAGAGCGACACGTCAGTTCATCATAAAATGCAGTTTCAGACTGAGGTTTTAAAAGCATTTAAAGGAAGGAAGTTATTAACTTGTCAGCCTTTTTCAAACTCACTCTTACTAAGACATGTCATTTAATCGAAGAGTTACCACTGCAACTTCAAGTCGTGCGTGAGTCCTAGAAATCTTGTAAGACAAGAATGGATGCTGAAATTGTCACGTTCTGTTTTTCCATCAAATCAAAGAGAACAATCTGAGGAAATCATCCTCTCTTCTTGTGATCCCCCACTAACCACGTACAGACCCACACCACGGCTGATCAGAGGGAGAGACGGCAAAAGGGTCAGCCAACACTGTTGTCCAAACGACCTGGCGAGGTGTGGAAGTTCCTGCCTTTGTGCGCACACGTCTGTGTTGAATTGCCAAATTAAATACTTGCGGCCTTAAGAATGAAGTCAGGATATGTCAAATTGAAAGTTAAACAAGAAAATAAAAATCGACACTTACCGTAATGCATGTAACAGTTGCCTTTTGTGGGATCGAGCTGGATGGCCTTGAGGAAGTACCTCTCCGCTTCTGTTTTCTGCCCCTGAGAGAGACGGATTAAATACGGTGTCATTATTGTTTCAACTGCTTCTTAGAACAACTCATTATAAAAACACCACATTCAGCTCAATGGCCAAAATACCTTTGTGTATACCTAATGTCCGTCTCCAAACCACAGACCTACTTTAACAATAAATCTTAATAAATAGACACGAAACACATGGACCACGAGTGTTTTTCTTTCAAGCTCATGTGTCGTCCTGTCAAAGTACACACTGTCATCCTTGGCACAGTGGAACAGTCAGGGCAAAGGCTTATTCATTACGCACTTTTATCTGTGCAAATAACACTTCCAGAGCATAACCGCAGATTGCCAGTGTGTGTGGCCTGACCGCCGTGAAACAAGGCAGAGAACGGTGGATAGAAATGGAGCGGGAGGGTTGGAAAGGCGAGGAGAGGAAAGAGGCAGACAGGCTCATGTGTCTATAGGGATCTTTAGCTTTGCATAAGCACACAGAGTTACATAGCACGCACACACACACACACACACACACACACACAGGCATACTGAGGTTGTGTGCACGGTGTTGTTCCGATGAAAGAATCCACACTGGGAGGGTGTGCATAGCATGATGAGGAAAAGCATCACTGAACCCCTGTGGACCTCAAAAGCTCCCTCAGGTCCTTGAGACAGTGACACGCAACCAATCACAGCTCAAACACAGCAGAGCAGCTGGCCAGTAGAGGCGCCATCTGGGACTTTGACACATTCCTACTCTCAGTTGGGCACCAGATGCCATCTGATCAACAATTAACAATGTGCACTCATCTATAAAAGCTGATGTTTTAGCATTAACAATGCAGCCCATTAAGTGTGAGTTTCACTCTAAAAGATAATGCCTTTGCATAAATAATGCATATTATTAAACTGCAGTTGCAGCAAGCCTATCAAGGCTACAGCACCAGAAAAGATGAAGGGGGATTAAAGAAAGATTGGACAAGTCAGTTAAAATAATGTACTTGTACTCAGTGTCAAATACAGCAAATTACTTCAGTTTACTCAAATAGAAGAACAGGTTCAAATCCAATCAGTGCAGTCTAGTATTAATGACTGTTTACTTAGTCGAGTGTACACATTTTGAGTGAGCTGCAGATTCAATAAATACATAATTTTCTAATGTAAATACATGAGCGGGGTTTCCCCTTGATGCTGTGGAAAAATCAAACCTGCGCTGAGTATATGTTTAATATAACCAATGGCGTCCAAGTAGCGATCCCAGTTCCAGTCTGAGAAGCATCATCTCTGTGTATTTATATACTCTAATTCACAGATGGAGGAATGCATATGTTTTAGGGCCAGCTGGTTTTATGTTAGCAGAGGCTTACGTCTGTTTGTTAAACCTCAGAGTGAAGCTTTCACACTCTGAAATGAGTTCCAGTTGTGACTGGATAGGAGATTTGGATTATGACAAGTATATTAATGGAGACCATGCTCAGAGTGAGTTATATGGGAAGGAGTTAGAATCCAAAAAAGTAACCAGTTGCTCATTTCTCATAACTCGTCTTAAAAGAAATGTTATTACAGTTCTTATACAGTTCCCTAGACAGGCAATTTGTTACACTACTGGTTATATTACTTTGCTGTTACACCCCCTTAAACTGGCAACTGCATCCTCTTTCATCTTCAAACTTTTTGGATTATAACTCATTTGGCTCACCTGTGTGCCTCTATGAATAATCCTGAAACTCAACCAGCACTCGTGTTCAATTCTCTTGTTATACTGTTTTCTCTGTGATGTCAAACTCATGGCAATGCTTCCAACTCGAAAGGAGTGAACTCCTCATCACTGCTCAGAACAGAGAGAGAGAGAAATGATCATGTTTTCTTTTATTCTACTTTTCTTTTTTTTAAAGCTAAAGTTCTGCTGCCCAAACTCAGTCAGGATCTGAGCTCGTTCTCTCTCTGACTGTACCCACCTTCTGCATACATATGTGTCGCATGTTGCGACAAGATATGTATTGCCCTGTGGGGAGAGGGGGAAAAAGGCCAGAGTATAGCCAATGTGCTGCACATGCCTGGCAAGGGAACAGTCAATATTGGTTCCGTGACACAAGATGGGTCTTAAATTTGGCAGTACCCATCGGGTTCAGTCGGGCTGAGTCTTAAAGACGGGGATAAAGACTGAATTCAGGTCTCAGTTTAGGGCCTGTGCAGAACTCTAGTGTATCTAAACATGACTTTAAAAGAGTTTACAACCACGCCAACAGCTCTGTGAGGCTGCACTGTGAGCTAAAAGCTAAACCCCAGCATGCTCATAGAAGGTAAATGTTTACCGTGTTCACAATCTCAGTTTTAACATTTGCTTATCAGCCCTAAACACAAAGCAGAGCTGAGGCTGATGTGTTGCAAGATATTTCGCTCAAGTATTGGAAAAAAAAACTTGAGGATGGCACTAGATGAAAAGACGGAGGATCAACAACATCTATTACAATAATCTTGAGAACACAATGTATTCCACCTTAAACTATCCTTTTACTCTCTATGAACTATATCCACTTCTCATTCTAGTCAGCTGATTACGTGGACACAATATCCTCCCTTTTGTCACACACACGCTGAGATTTTCGGTGCGTGCCCCACACCTCACATCTCCCGACCACATCAGATAAACTGTAGATTCAGCCCCGGCTCTGTGGGTGCCTATGCGATTATGGATGAAGCCTGCATCCTATTAGCTGAGGAAATGACAACTGGATGACTGAATCCAATATTGCGAGCATCGCAGCGGCCGTGTCCAGCTCTGACCTGCGGTGAGTGCAGAGAGCGCCCGGAACACATTCTGCCCCCCCCCCCCTCAGTGTCAGCGGAGGTGTGGAGGGGTCAGCACAGCAGGGAGGGTGATACTGATCTGTGTGATTAACTCTACCTTCCTCTCCTATTTTGTCCTCCCTTCATCCCACAAATCACAGCAACTCTTTTGCTCCCTTTCTCTCTCTCTCTGCACCTCAGCTCCACCGTCATCCTCTCACCCTTCTCTGACCCTGCTGCCGAGCCTTATCTCGAAGCCCCTCCATCTCTCCCGCAGGGATCTGAACCTTGAAACCCCCCGACAGTATCTGAAGCGTCTTCATCACTTACAGTTGTGCCACAGGGAGTTTGGAGGTAGGGGATGATAGAGGCGGGGGGCTGGTGAGCGGGTCAACTTCCTGCTCTGGTTTTGATCATGCTTAAACGCCGGTGTCATCAGGCACACGGGCCATAGCCACAACAGAGGAGCATGCATTAAATGGTACCCTGACTCTGATTCATGGGTAAAAATTTTCTCAAACATTTTAAAATAAATGTCTGTGCTTCTCAATTGTTGTTTTCAAGGCTAAAGAATCTCTAAGCCTGTCCAAACAACTGCTCTGATGGAATTATTTGCACTCACAGGATCAGAGGGGCTCAAAACACCAATACCATCCATCATGGTCAGAGATCTACAGAGAATTATCCCTGCAGGTTTGAACTCTACTTTCCTCCCGAATCAATAACACTTTCTTAAATAAAATGAGTTTCTCTTCACGGCCAACTGAATTCTTACCCGCGTCCACTTCACCAAGTCTTAACTCTCCTCTAGAGAACTGTGTTGTTCTCCTAAACTGTTCTCACTGACAGCTCCTGGCTTCGCATACTTTCTGATGTCTGATGGCTTTTGTTCAGAGAGGAATTCGTGTCAGTTTAACAAGCGACTTTTGTCTGTAGTGTCAGCTGAACTACAATTTAAAATGACCATCAGTTTGAGTGCAGATTGGAAAATCAATCTAGTGTTGTGCAAGAGGTCAATTTAATTTAGACACACAATGATCCACTTCACTGATATATAGGATTATATTCGTATAATACTGCCAGCGACCAGTTAGTTAGCTTAGCTAGCCACCTCAGTTTTTGGATTAAACGCATCAGACATGATTAGTGAGATGCTGATGCTAAGTGTATTTTTTCATGTGCTAAGCTAAGCTAACGCTTGTGGTAGCTTCATATTTACCATACAAATACCATGTAAATAAGTAGTATCATACTTCTCATCTAATTCTTGGCAAATATTTCCCAAAATGTCAAACTATTTCTTTAAGGGTAAATTCTTTGATTCAAAATGTGTTTCAACATCGTTATAACATGTTGGAAAAATAAGGTTCTTTCCAGTAAATTTAGGTAAATGATGTGCCAGTAAAATTCCTCCACACAACTCAGTTGTGATACACGCAAGTTCATAAATTTGGAAAGAGTATAAATGAAAAGAACTTGAAAAAAACCCTGTTTCCATAAGGGAAATGAAAAGGGACAGAGCCAGGAAGAGCCTTGCCTTCCAGATACCACTGCTCCTGGATTTTGAACACATTTACGTCCTTTCATTAGGGCCCAGACTGTGGGAGAGAGGGGTGTCAGCTGAAGAGGAGGCCTCCACCCTTCTTTTGACCTTCTGTGCTACTCTTCCTCTACTTTGTTTATTTCTTTTCTGACAGTCCTTTTCAGCTCCGCTCCCCTCGGCCAGCTCGATTCCAAACACGCCTATCGAGCTGCGATCTGTAACGGATGACTGTATGACCTGAACACATGACCATCTCCTCGTAAACTTGGGGACTCTGCTTCTGTCCCATCAACACAGATGGCCTTTTCTTTGGTTGCAGGGACACAGGTCAGCTGTGTGACCCTGAACGGATATTATCTCTGCAGACCTAAAATCCAGGGCAGATGCAGATTTATTTCTCTACAGTGTTTAGAGATTTAAATTTTCTATTTTTTAGGGCAATGTTACAATTTACTGGCGCAGCTTTTTGAGCTACTTTTTAAGGCGTAGGAAGAACTTACATGGAGCAAAATAAAAAAGGTTGGCGGACATGACAAGATTTTTAATCAGGAAGTGCTACTCCCTGACAGAGATGATCATCTTGAGAAATACAATGTGACCACCCTCTTCTCTCATGCTCACTCTCTTCCAATCTTTTCCCTCGCTCTCTTTCACCCACGCACTATTGATTAACTGTCGAGACTTCAGGAGAACATTACGACCGTCAGTAAAGAGCTGAGGAGAACTGGGGAAAAGCCCGGGGAGATGAAAGAGAGCGCAATAAAAAGAAAGTGAAAAGAAAGAAGAGAACACAGGTAGAGAATGAGAGGTGGGTCAGGGAAGCAAAAAGGCAGACATGTCCACGTCAGTGGGGCAGGCGTCAGACCTCAGTTTGAATGGAGCGTGATACTGGTCATACCAGACCAATAGAGGCCGTAGCAGCAAAAGCCCTCAGTGTATTGAATTAAGTAAGTGTGTGTTTTCTCTTATCTAACTGTTATTTCTTTTGTCAAAAGTAAAATAGTCTCAAGGGAGGATGACACACACAGACACAAAAAAAAAAAAAAGTTTTACCGTCATGGCCAGGAGTTTGCCATAGGTGAGGTGTGCGGGGATGTGGTCCGGCTTGGCTCGCAGGGACTCTCGGTACCAGTGTTCAGCTTCAGGCAGCTTGCTCAGTCTCATGTAGGCCTCTCCTGTGAGAGGCAAAGCGAGGGTCGAGTCAGGGGTCAAGCTGTCAGAGGTTAAGACATCACACATCTTCCCATTGCTCTGCTGAGGATTTGCATGACAGAGCAGTATTGAGGCCAGACCTCATCCCAGTGGGTTGGAACACAAAGCTCATGTTGTTTATCAACTAGTCCTTTTTTTTTTTTTTTTTACATATAGGGTGATACATGGCACTGAACTAAGAGGAAGCAATTGTTTAGCTTTGTTTAAATATAAAACATTCACACTTGATTTGTAGACTACTTTCAGTGTCTTTCACAAAAGCAAACCTTTGAATATCATTCAATAATGAACATGTTTGATTTCTTAAATTCGAAAATAATTCAACTCAAGTTCTTAGAATAGAAATAAGATCAGTTTAGTGGATGTTTTAAAGAAGTGAGTCTATAACACACACTCCCTCACACTCTCTGGTCTGTCAGACATCATCTGATACCTCCCCCCACTGCAGAACCTGACCCTCTGCCTGCTAACACCTGAAATAACAATGACCTCTCTTTCATAGCCGTCCAACAACACTTGTATTATTGCAAGAATTTGACAACATCGGCTGGTAATTGGACACAACACAGTTAAACTCAACATTATAACATATTTAGGGGCAGAAAGTGAATGTAGCACAGGTGTTGAAAATTTCACTCGAACGTGGTTACATGTTTACATTTCAATCTACACCGAGTCTCACGAGCAGCCGAACGAGTGGACACGTTGTTTAGACTAGAGCGGACTGAAACTTTAATCCCTTGGGGATTGAGACTAATCACTTCCTTGATAAGAAACTGTGATAAGCAACAGGTGACACACACCTCATTACAACTGCTGGACCTTCTTAATCCAGACAAACCTTCTCCAATGAGCGATAACGATAATGAAAGCTCTTGACACATACTGCTGGCATGTAAAAGACATCATATTTAAGATGTAACTTCCTTTCATTGTGAGAAAATACAGCTCGAGGCTTAAGACTCCCAACACCCCAGATGTAATGTAATACATGAGAACATATTTTCAAGATGATGTCCATCAGTGCAGCTTCATGTTTTAGATTCAAGAGCTGGAAATCCATGATACTGCGGTCACACATGCAAAAATGTCCTTGTCAACAGCTAACATCACATAGAGCGTAATAATGGATTAGTGGATTTCACAAATGTCGCAAATCTCAATATTGTCAAGTCGTATATTCCCATGGCTGGCTTGTCACTTTCTTCATTTCAAACTGACATTTTGACAAGTGCAATAACTGAAAGCACTCGATTGTATTTCCAAATTGGGTTTCAGTTTAATGAATCGTCAATGTGATAGATATGGTTATAGGAAATTTACAATGAACCCCAACTATTTCAAAATGCATACACAGGTCTTCATTTGTTGACGGGGTTTGAAATACTTGTCTCGCCTCCATGGCAGCAGACTTCTGTATGAGATTAGCACAAACATCAACGTGCAATTAGAAGTGACATTGAATCCGAGGAGCTGAAAACCAGCTCCTCCGGAGTGGAACATTCCTCGGCCCACCAGAGAGTGCTGGAGCGAGACCAGTAGGGTGCAGATTACCACCCAGGTCTGCCTCTGATGAAAGCCTCTGCTCCTTGGCGTCTGACAAACGGCATGAGAGCAGCACAGTGAGTGAGACTGGAAGGAAACAGATACAAGCAGGTGTGCCAAATGTGCAAATCAGTTGAGCGAGGAAACAACGCTAAGCTGGAGAAATCACAGCTCGCTGGCTCAGTGCCTCCGTTACAGACGCAGCGCTGCTCCTTAACGGTGACTGGAACTTTCATCAACATTTTGACATAATCTCAGCAGCTCTGTCAAATTGCATTTTGCCAACACATGAGCGAACCTGTGGCACTACCAAATCTGGATTACAGACGTCCCAGGTTGGAAGTGTGTGTGTGTTTAAGTAGCTGCATGTGTATGACAGAGAGAAAGCAGGAGGGAGGGGGGGGAAAAAAGTTAAAAAAAAGCAAAGAGAGAGCAGCTATAATGAGCCTGCAGCAGCTGTTCTACAGCTGTAATCCAACAAAGCAAATTAACTCTGTGTAAAATGATATTGTAAAGCTGTTTAGCTGTTAAACACTGTTTAACAGCATGAACTCAAACATGGATTTCACTGATATAAACTGATGCAAATGGCTTCATCTGACACTGATTTTGCACATTTTTTTGACAATCTACTTTCTTCAAGTAGTCCTTAAGAATTCTAACAGCATAATTTAGCCCTGTCTTAACCTAAACTGTAGGCTACACAAAGCCCACAATGATCTTGACCGACATATTTATTAACCGAGATCGTACTGTAAGCCGCAGGTTTAGGATTCACAGCTCACAATCTGAACACAGATTTAACATCTTCTGATTTCTCACAGCACTAGTGGTATGGGTTAGAGTTAGGGATAATGTTTGACCTCCTCATAGAAAACTACAATCACAAGCAACAATCATTCTGATGTTTTTCTTTTTTTTGTTTGTTTTTTTTACAAACTTAACTCGTAAGAGTAATGTAACCTGTGTTTTCAGGGCAAATTCCAAAAATGTCTGAGATATCCTTGTTCCACAGTGGAGGTTAGTGACCCCTGGTTATCTCACATTCAGAGCTGCGTGAGTGCTGCGGCTGTAAACAGTCCTCGTAAGTGAAATTCGTACTTCCTAATGCGTATTGGAAGTTAGGTTGCTGATGCTGCCTGTCCAGAAGAAACAGAGAGGTTCTTTGTTTGAAGGTGCTCAGAACAGCAAACTGAATGATGTATAATAGACAAGTTCTCCAAAAACAGTCCAAAAATAACCCTTTACCCTCAGTTCCATCTGCTGTTACTTCCGCACTAAAAAACAACAGCTTTTATGTTTGTGGTCCTGAAACAAAAGCAGCTCTTACCCATCATGTTGTAGAGGCTCTGTGGTGCAAATTGTCTTGGCATTTTCTGTATTGCTTCTTTAAACACAGAGAGGGCCTCCTGTGAATGAGACAAATAAAAAAAAAGAAAAAAGAAGAAGAAGGTGGGGGATTGTTTGCATTAGAGAGTGGAGTAGACCCCCGCCAGAGAAACTGGCGCTGGGGTAACCAGTCATTCCTCCCCAGCAGCCGGGGCCCTGCCACTGTGAATACACAGCGTGGAATTGGGGGTCGCCGGCAGGCTGGTTCATACAGAGCCCGGCTGACAGGGTCTATCCTCAGTGTCACGGCTGTTAAGACGACCAGAGCGGTGTCACATACAGACTCATACAGAATCTAATATGTATAGTGTGTTAGGTCCAGCGATTCTCCTCAGAGTCCCTCAGAGTTTAAATGGTGGAAGGAGGTGGAACTACTTTATTGCTGAAGCAAATGTTGCGGTTAGAGGTCAGAGGAAGTGGGACTGTTCTCTTTCTCCAGCATGCCAACTATTTATAAAGGCCTTTATTGAATCTGCAGTTCTACTGCTTCATTCCTGATTGAATCAGCAGCATCGGTGCTTGTGTACAGTATAAATGTGCAGCATTGGAAAACCAGTTACTTTAGCCAGCACTGTAGGTCTTTAAGGGCATGAAAGAGAGTGAATTTGTTAGAAACAGCCTGAGGATTATCTGCACACGACACTGCGTCCCCTATGACAGAGGCAATTTTGGAACATGTCCATATAAAAGCGAGCATTTTCTCTGTGTCCCCCAAAGGCTCCTTGGACAAATGCCTGCATTTTATCTCAGTTCACTGTGGTTTTACATTTTCCAGCATGCACTGTATTCGAAGGAGTCTGCTTTGAACTCCTACAGCAGTAATGGTGGTGGTGTTTCTTAGATGTTACACAGATTATGTTTTTGCTGCACATTTGAGCTAAAATAAATTTGTGCAATCAAGCTACTTTATATTTCATATTTCTAAGAGCCAACATATACGTTATGCAGATTCATTTTACATGTAGAATGTGTACATTATATTCTGTGTTATGGATAGCTATGGGTAAGGCAGTTAAATGCTATAGCATCTTGGCTTTCTTATCACGTTTACCAGCTTAATTAAAATAAAAACACCAGTTATTACAACTATTCAACAAGGAGGAAATGAACATTGATCGATACACGTGAGATACACGTTTTCTGATCAACATTACCATGCAACTCTGTGAATCTAAGACTGCTAATGCTAATGCCCAGCATGCTAGCATGTTTTGCAGCATACAGGTGCAGTTTGGGTCTTTACCTCCTGATGTCCCTGCTCATGGAGCAGCTTGCCCAGGTTGTACAAGCAGCTGGTGACTGAGCTCTTGTGGGCGTGGGGGTCCTTCAGGTTCTCATCGGGGATATCGGCACAGGTCAGGAAGGTGCGCTTGGCTTCATCGTGGCGACCCTGATTCATCAGGATGATGCCTGTGTTCAAGTAGGCCGCTGTTTGGGGAAAACAACACAATGCACAGAGAGAAAAGCGTTAGTTTGGGCAGAACACTGACGTTGATTTAACTAAGATTTAATGTTTTTAATGTTCATGTATATGGGTTTTTTTTTAAAAAGCACGATTAGTTCTGTCAGGAGAACGATGTTGCTCCTTGGATTCCTCAAATGTAAGTGTGTGTGCGTGTGTGTGTGTATGTGTGCATGTGTGTGTGTGTGTGTGACTAATTTCCCTAGTTGGTCAGCTCCTTGACATACGTAAGTGTCTCTCCCTGACCTGAAGCCACAGAAATCAACAGCGCTGAAAAGGTGAGTAATGACCATCTCTATATGAAATAGATCTTCAGGCTCGAACAATGACCCGCTGTTAATCCTTTTCACACTTTATTGTTCTGTATGTTTGACCTTTGCATCCACCCTGTGGGACACTTTGGATGCTTGTTAAACTTTTTTTTCTTGAGCAGTCAACGACAACATCTAATGATCGATAAGCAGCTGCAGTGTAATTAGTCTCTGTGGACCTGCGTTTCCAGACAACTCCCTATCAAGCCTGGGCTGTTGGAATAAATTAACTTGATACAGGAGATCACTCTGGAAGGCTCTTCTATGGAGCGCTGACATATAATCAAGTTAAAAGGCGTGGCTGAGAATCAAACAGCCTATTTTTTTTCCTCCTACAAAGAAATTTACCTTCCTCTTCTTCTGTCCTTGCAATTCGTTATCTCAAAAGCTTCCTCACACCTCACAGTCTTATCTGTCTTACATGGTGTTGCTTTCAATGGTCAATATCTAGACTTTTTTTCATTGCACTGAAAGTGGAGCAGATAACAAAAACCACGGGCAGAGAAAAGCTATTTTTTTTTTTTTCCAATTTCATCAGCCTTCTAAAGTGATTTTCTGTGTGCACAAAATGTGACAGGAATCAATAGCACTTTATCAAAGAGCAGGGCTGCTCTACATATTAAATATAAATGCTACAGTTTGCACAAGTTAGCTCCCAACTAGGCAGTGAGTAATGGTGTAACCTTGAAAAAAAAAAAGAAAACCAGCTTCACTGTCACATTCTCATTCTGTCTTCAACTTGTCTGCTGCTTGGGGTAATTAATTAACCTTGTTATCGGCGCCAACAGATTGGATAATTGCATGCTGAATGGAAATTTTTTTGTCTAACCACGATCTTGATTAGGTCTATAATTAATCCAGAGGCAAAAAAAAAAAAAAAAAGGAAGAGACGTTTAAGGCTCTCTGTTTATCTGTCACTGACTAATGCCTGGAACAATAGGGAGCTAATTTGTTCCATGATCAGGTGAAATTGTGAGCGATTCTCTCTAAACAGGGAGTCAACCTGCTGAAGATGACAATGTATGGAAGATTTTATTCCAGGAAAAGCAGAAAAGTTGGGGTGAAGGAGAGGAAAGCAAAGAAGAGGTAAAAGACACAACAAGAAAGTGAGAGACACTAGTAAATGTAAGGAAGCAGGGGTAGCAGGTAGAAGAAGAAGAAATGAGTGTCACGGTCTGAATTCATAGTAAATGACATAATGCAGTTACTTGATCTGTTGACACGTCTTGGCTTTGAAAGCCAGTCTGGCAGCTGTGTTGAATGTTTAATTTAGCCGTATACCCACTGCCCTTTGCCACCTATTCCTCTCCCTTCACATAACCACAGCCTGTGTTCACTGTTGCCTGGACACAGCACAGCCACAACCACAAGAGCTGGAGATTGTCAATAAAAAAGAAGAGCTGTACTTACAAGCCAGAGTTGGCCGGCTCCCAATGGCCAGCTTATAGTAGTGGAGCGCCTCTGAGAACTTGTTGCTCTCCTGCAGCAGCAAACCGCTGGAACAGACGAAATAAAGAAAGAAACGACAGCTTGAAAAACTCAAATGTTTAAAGTTTAGAAGCCTCTGTTAGGCTTAGACAAGTAGACAAGAACACAAGCAGCTGATAAAACTTTGAGGGGGGGGGGGTAGTAGATCTGAGCAAACCACAGACATTTGAGCACACTGTGAGTATTGGCTGTGGATGTTTTGCATTTTCCCCTCCGGCTAAAACAGCATCATTAATAACCCTGTCAGACAGACAGCACTCCGGGGAATACAAGACACTTCCTCTGAGGGAACAGCTCTGATCAATGAACACACGCAAGGAAATGGAGAGCTCGTCCATTTGTTCACACACACACACACACACACACACACACACACACACACACACACACTCTTGTGAAACAGCTGGGAGTGGAGACGCACTCAAAAGAAAGACATGTATACAAGCACAAAAGATCTCTAAGCCTTGCAGGCACATTTTCACATCTACAGGAGAGAACTGGAGCATTCAGCATAAGAAAACAGAAATGACATCATAAGATTCTGATAAAAGGTAAACTCACAGGTTATACAGCATGTCAGCCATGTTGCTGCGGTAGTACAGAGCATTTCTGTACGCCTGTTCAGCCTCTTCCATCTTGCCCTGGCTCTTCAGCACATTTCCAAGGTTGCCCCATGCTGAGGGCGAAGAAAAACAGTTAATCAAACGGAATAAAAAAAAAAGAAAATGTGCGACAGCCTTCTTGAATAGCAACTTTTTTTTCCGAATCTTAAAAGGCTGACAAGAAGAAGGAGAGAAATTTCTGTGGCAAGTAATAATTTTCTTTTGTTATTCACAGCCTCACGCTGACATGGGATCAGAGTTTTTAACCTCTCAAGAGGATGTTGTTCTGCTGCCGCTGGTATACCCAGACATATGAGTAAAGCGAGATGACACACTGGGGGAGCTTTGTGCCAAAACCACCAGCCTGTGAGTGTGTGTATGAAAAGAAGACCACCACAGTGCTATTGCACAGCTAATGGCTTTACTGTTGAATGGCACAATGCAGTATCTGACAGGTATGCCTAAAGAGGCATTTGTGCATTGTTATAGCGTCATGCATTATAACACTAGTGTAAACCCTCAGATACTGCTCCCCCCCCTTGCATCTCCACTAGTCATATAGAAAAGGAAGATAAAAATCCTGGCTCACGCTGCTTTTGTTGACATGTGTTATTGTGAGTGCTACACTCTGCAGTGTGGCTTTAAGCAATGTATTTACTTAATTGTTCAAAAATCCTAACATCTATGAAATCCCAGAAGAATATTCAGTATAAATAAAAGCAGACGGAAAACAAAAAAAACAAAACAAAAAAAAAAACAAACTCAAGCTTCCTTCATTCTACTCATAACACCCAGTGCTGCACAGATGACTTCATGAAGTTGTTTCGTGTATCCCCAAATTTCACAGTTCAAAAGATCCAGTGGGTGTGTCTGCGTCTGTGAGGCCGACTTCCATTCAATTCTCATATTAGCCATAATGAATGTGAGTCGGGGACATTGCTGCTGCTCTGTTCGGCTGATGGCCTGCCAAAACAAACAGCTGTCATGCCTCAGCTCCGCTACAGAATCTGAAAGGGAAATTAGCTAACACAACATGTCCTGCTGTTGCCTTTGCGAGTCCCTGCCCTGCTTCCCTGCTCAGCCTGCTCTGAGAACTTTGCTGTGGATAGGAATCTGTGTCTGATGACCTTGGATGTGAAAGCTATTGAATATTTTATCCGCTGTTGGAAGTGCCAATCAGAGACGGGTGACGGGTGCCCTTCCAAGTGAGACAGGGCATGTGGTGTCATGAAACACATTGCATGCAGAGTATAAGAAGATGTGTGAAAAAGGAGACAAAACTTTGCTGTGGTGTTTTTTTTTTTTAGAAGGAATTCGGCCTTGAGTGGTAAAGGTCACACCGGTGTCACTGCCTCTACGACTTGTGAGCACTCATGTATCCTGTGGTAGGGCTGAGTGATGAAGAGGAGACACTTTGCAGCAGATTTACTTTCAATTATTCAGGGCGGCAGAAGAAGAAAGACAGTACACATATCAAATTCAAAACCTTAAAGCTTGCTCATGCTATTCAGACAACCACGTATGATGGGGGGGGGTTGAATTGGGAATGCGCATAAAAGAGTGTTTGAGCTCATGTTGGAGCAGTTGCACCTTTGCGCATGCTAAGTTGAATGACGGCATGCAATCCGAGTCGGGCCTTACCTTTAGCAGGGTTGACATAAATCCCTGACTTGTAGAGCATCTCCTCATTCTGCCAGTCCCGGTTCCTCAAAACAGTTTTGACGCCAAAGAGAAGAACCATGGCAGCGCTGCAGTACACCAAGATCGTCCTGAAGGACCGGCGTCGCAGTCGGACGTACAGGGACCTCATCCCCACTGCGACCAGCAGGCAGAAGCCCATGCTGGGGATGTACAGTACTCTCTCCGCTATCACAAACCCTACATAGAAAAACAGGTTTGTGGCAGGAAGGAAGGGGATAGCCAACAGGCCTAAAGAGAACACCACAACATTTTCAGTGGTGGGCAGTGGAGTCCTGCTCTCATAGTGCTTTTTGGTACCGTTTTGTGCACTATTAATGTGAGCACCTGTGTGGGAATTGTTCATATGTTCGTGATTGTTATATTGGTAACTGTGTCCGTTACTGTTTCCATTTCTGCCATTGGTGTAATGTTGCGCTTTTCCGTTCGTGTCCTTGCCCTTGGCTGCGTGGTGCGTCCACAGGCCGAACCAAGCCAGCAACAGCAGCCCAAGGTAGAAGAGTACTGTATGAAAGTTCCTCCAATCAGCCAGGCTCCTGATCAAAGGCAGGGCGTCCATTGACCAGTCGAAGCTGAGCGTGTCCGGGCAGAGGAGGAGCCAAAAGTTGACGGCGGGCAGGTAGAAAAAGGTTAGCGTCCTGGTGAGGAGCGAGGGGGAGTCGGCTGCCGGGTTGTCGGAGTTGGAGAAGTTGGGCGGTTTGTTGCCCATCCAGTAGAAACGGCAGGCTAACAGGACGGCTCCCCAGGCTGCCAGCAAAAACACATTGAGCAGCAGGTGGACGTTCTTTCTCTGAAAGACAAAGCAAACACAGAAACAGGACTGAAACCCTCAATCCACTGGAAAGGAAAATACACTGCACTTACGAGAGCATCAAGCCAAACCTCGTTTTCTGGGTGGTTGTAATATTTATGACTCTTATGCCTTTACATTTACTTTGACCCAGACTATGAACTGGAAGTCGAACAAAGGAATGTCTGATCTCACATCACTATGTGGCCATGACAGTACAGCTGCATAATGCCATCTGGAGCAGAAAGAGTGCTCAAGGACAATTTAGAAAGGGTTCACTAAGTAGAGTCGCTTTGATGCGATTCGTCAAAAACTTTTGTTTTAGCTGCTTTGATGTTTTTGGAAACCTGTGAAGTAAGAACAGTCCAGTGCCCTCTATTTCTGTTCTGTTATTGACTCTTTTCAACTTTTCAAGCCAAGTAAGAAGAAAATATGGCAGACTAACATCTTTCATGGCCTCTATAGATGTATCAAAACAAACGCAACTACATGAACCCCATTCATCATATTACTGACTTGATATTAAACACTTTCTCGAATGCTGTGTGGAAATGCCTATGAAATATTTATAGTGTGTTTGGTTGTTTAATACTTTGCTGGCAGAGCACAGAAAAGTGACTGGACATATTTCCCCACAAGCATGTTCCACTTTTAAGACCAACTGACCTTTCATTGTTTTTGTTGTTGGAAAATCCAACTTAGAAAAATTAGCTTTTTTTTTTTTTTTTCTAAAAACAGCAGCTAAAGCATTCACAGCAGTGTCCACTCATATCCTGCAATGTTAACTTGCATTGTGCTGCAAAAATACATCAAAAATGAGAAATAATTCAGTACCACAGAAGGCACAAAAATATAGATTACAAAAATATGAGGTATGCAGCAGTGGTTTGTTTCATTAGTCTCCGTAGTCTGAATCTAAATCCTGAGGGCATCATGGTCCTGGATGTTTTCTCAGATCTAAACCTTTTCATTATTTAAACTTAAACCCAAGGCAACATGGGGGAGAACTTCTCATTACCCTTATACCAGTGGATGTGACATTTCTCCATCTCCACATGCCAAAGGGCACAAACATGTCTCATCTGTGATCATAAACTTCATACCACCACTGCTTTAAGGGTGTACTATTGATTTCCTCGCCCCATCCACTGTCATTTACAGATTGTATCTGTGCAGAGATGCTTCAGTAACCTCTGGGCACATCACACCACAAGGGAAAAGCTCTGTTGTCTGCTAATGATCACTGCTAATGCAATGTTGCAGCCAAACACTTAGGCAACAGGAAATTAGGCTGAAACCACAGGAGACAACATCATGACAACACCATGAAAATGACCTGCAAACAACTAATTCTGATACTAGTGTGGTACAATACACAGAGGGTTTACATGACAACAGACCTGACAATATAATGCAGTTCGATACAACAACTCTGCCACAAACCCAATTCCTGCCAAACTTTGTTTCTGACCGAGTCTGATTGTTTTTGAGTCTATGGTACTCCTCACAAGTCTGAATATTACAGAAGAGTATTATTTGAAGAAGTAGTCACCCTCATTACAAGATGTATACTTCTTACACTTCCTAGGTGCTCAGGGGAGCACCAAGTGCCCTTGCGCTGAAGTACCAGGCTGCGGAGCTGAATATTGGTATACAACATTCATAGCAGTAAAAAATAAATGAGTAAATAAATAAAAACTGGTAAAAGGTCAGCTCTGTCAAAACCTTCAGGGGAGACCTGACAACAACCCGCAGTGCTTCAGTTTCTTCGTAAAGATATACCACAGCTGAAGAAGTTGTTCCGTCGCTTGGCAACAAAAGGTCATCGTTTCAATTCACATCACTGTTTCTCATTAATTTGAGCCACTGCCAAAGCTGTTACTGTCAGCTCCCATGGAAATCCAGAGGAAAACAGACAGGATGGAGTAGATCACAAACAAAGACATTTTTATGTAGAATATAAGACAGATGTTATTAAACAGCACTTAAATAAGAATATGAGGCGTAGGTATTGAGCAGGGACGTCATGGATGAACCACTTTATCCAGTCAGCCATAATGAATCTAATTTGACTGGAAACCCACTGTGACAACAGAGTCCATCATAAAAACAAAAGCCACAGCTAGGCAACTGAACACAAAACAATGGAGTCCGTGTCAAACAATCCCAGTTATCGCAATGTTGTGAAAAGTAAAAACGGAAATAAAAGTACTAACATCTGTCAGTATGTACAGACACAACTGATAACATAGTACAAACATACACAAACAGATTCCAAATATGAGACCAAAGCAGGTTTTTGTCATGTGGAAATTCAATTTAAGTGACTGAAACTTTGCCAGTTTAAGTGAAAGACCAGAACAGAAAGCACTTGGGTCATAAAGCTAAAAATTATGTTTAAATGGTCCTGTAAAAAGAGAGGAAAAAAAGGAATAAACAAACTCCACGTCCTGCGGAACAGAGGTTAATACAGTGCCTATGTATCATTTTAATTAGCCCTCAGTGACACATGGGAATGCAGCATCTGTTATTGCTGATTGTGGGATTACCCACTGATGTGTGGTTGTAACAAAAATAAACACATCCATACGGACTAGATGAGATAGATCCTTTCATACAGGTTAAAAGAATAGTTCAATATTCTAGGATATATGATTGTGTGCATTCTTACCAAGAGATTGACATCACTCCACACCCTCATTTTGACAACCGACCATACCATCAGATCAGCCCGTTCATATGTTAGTACTAAAATAATAATGAAATAATTGAAACCATTCTGACAAACTCTATTCTGGCAAAGTCTCACAATTACAAGTTTCTCACAAACTGCTACAACTGTTTGGGCATGCCTGGAGAAAACGTACATAGAAAAACTTACATAGAAAAAGTAGGCAGTTGCAGTAAAAGCGTGGAATTCAAATTCACCAGGCTCCTACAGCCCAACTTTAAAATCTGTCATCTGAACTGCATATGAACTCTCGGGATAGATAGCTGACTATCATCCTCTTCAAATCTCACACACCAGGTTTCAATGTGCGATTTAATTCCATCCCTAAAAATCACTGGAGGAGAAAACACAGGTCCTGCAGCCACTTTTCAATCTATGCAGGTGAGCAGGAACTCTACAAAGACATGAAGTGGTCTGAAGTGGTCTGTGAGGCCCAGGGGGCTGTTCTTCACACAGACTTTGCCAGAGAGGCTTGCTGAGCGGTGTTAATACATTTCAATCACTGCTTCAGGGAATCCAGCTTGGATTTACGAGGCTCTTCTGCAGGCTCTCAAGACGACTCTCTGGTCCAAGCAAGGGCTTACGAGACACCACCTCAGCGCTAACTCTGAGCGCTCTGCAGGACGGACTGAAAGAAAAACTCTATTTTTAGAAACAAGGGGTTGACTAAAAACTGGGTGTTATGTGTACAGGGCGGGGTGCCAGGTTCCCGACCAGACAACACTCTGATCTCCTTTGAGGTAGTTGTTGTTGTTTACGGCTGATTTTTGCAGCGCCTTTGCTGTAGGGCAACGAGGCACAAGTGTTTAGAAGTGCTGCTGCTGCTGCTGCTGATGACAACCTGGCACCGCTCCCACACACACTCATTCATACCTGGCACTGTGACAGACAGATATGTCATCCTCACTCTTCCCAGACACTGCACCTACTCAGACAACACCACCTTAACTACAACCATATGTCAGTGCTGAGGACTGAGGCCGTGTTTCATTTACATTCCTGTGCTGCATTTGTACATTGAGATTTCCCTTATTTTCTATGCAGAATAAAGTCTTTGGGCAGCGTTGAGAGCATAAATACAATCCACTGCAATGCACTTGAGCACACATTTGTAACCCCACTGCTCCTTGCTCTTGGCCTACTTTGCCAACTGCTCCGACTTTCTAAGGAAAATAAATGTGAAGGCAAAAAAATATATAGGCAGGGAGCAAACAGGAAATGCTCTGAGGAGATGTTCTGGAGGACACATTACCAGGGGACAACATGAACCCCATGTCTATTATGTCTTGGATAAACAAACATGTGCATCCTCCTTAATATGCCTGCGGTTAAAATGTCTACCATTCAAAAGCATAAGTTCAATTACCAGCCAGGCAACGGCTCCCCGGGTGCTACAGCTCCATTATGCAGGAAAACCAAGGCATTCCAGCTTTGTGTCTTTTGTCTATAATCCAGTTTAGTTTGAAATAAGTGGTTTAGCACAACCCCGTAGGAGGGATGAGGGCAGTGTTTTTTTTTTCTTCCCTTTTGTGTTTCAGGCGCAATCAGTTCAGAACTGAAACAATTTAGCCTTTATAAGGCAGGCGTGTGAATAAAATATCCTTGGAGATGAAATGCAAAACAGGCCAATTACGGAATTCCTATTTGTGCCTGTGCCTGCCTTTTTTTTCCCTCTACACTTTGATTAGGTTGAATTGACTGGGAAGATAACTCAATCTAAAAAGTTTTTTTTTTTTTTTTTTTTAACATCCGCTAGAGTGTTGTGAAAGAAGTCTTGTAGCAAAATAAAGTGGAAAGAGCTCAGAGAGAAATTTAATTAATTAGTTTGGAGAATAGTACGCTATTCTCTGGGTACACCCAGGCTTTTTTGCATAATTGGCTGATGCACACCATACCTTTTTTTCGAGAGCATTTTAAGAACAATCAATCACATGACACATCTAACTAGCCCATCAAACCGCAGCGCCGTGACGGGCTCACAGCGAGCACCTCCGAGAAAATCCAGTGAAAGGAGAAGTGGCATGTCTGACCTATACCCTCCTCGTCATCATTACTGAGATCAATTGTCTGCAGAGGGCCTTTCATCATGATCCTGCTTCACATTGATAGACTTGTAATGGAAGTGAAAATGAGCTCGGGGTAGCAATCAGAGAGTGCAACCACCTTCAAAGCCTTCACACACACACACAAAGCTCAAATTTGGGAAGAACACCAGATCCCCTTAAAAAGTCTGCATAAATCTTTCTAAAGGTTTGATGGATGGATATAC